CGGCCGCCGCCGAGGCCCTTCTTCGAGGCGCTCGTGCGCAGCCTCATCATCCTGTGCGTGGCCGTGGCCGTGGTGCTCTCCTCCATCTCCGTGTGCGACGGCCGCTGGCTCTTCGCGCGGCGGGAGCTCTTTGGCCTCTGGCACTTCTGCAGCGTCAGCAACAGCAGCGCCCTGAAGTGCGTCACCGACCTGCGCCTGGCTGGCGTGGAAGGCATGAACGTGGGCATGATCCTCATCAGGAGCCTCGTGGCTTTTGCCGTCGTGGTGGCCATTTTCGGCCTGGAGCTCCTGATGGTCTCGCAGGTGTGCGAAGATGCCAGCTCAAGGCGCAAGTGGTCACTGGGCTCCATTCTCATCCTCGTCTCCTTCTTGCTGTCATCCACCGGAGTCCTGAGCTTCTCCATCCTCCTGAGGGACCACATCACCTTGATGGGCTTCTCGCTGACCTACTGGTGCGAGTTCGTCGCTGCCTTCCTCTTCTTCCTTAATGGGATCAGTGGCCTCCACATCAACAGCCTCACGTCCCCGAGGAGCCGGCTGGCAAAAATCTAGGAGCCGAGGGCTGTGCCGGTTCAACTGGGAGAGGAGGGAGCCTCACGGCTTTTGGGACAGACCCCTGGGCTTGCAGATGGACCTGCCATGGAGGACTGCACAGTGCGACAGGACCACAGGCCAGCTGCTGTGGGAATGCAGCTTTCCAGAGTGATGGATTAAGAGGATTTCTCTCCTGCAAAGGGCAGCCGGCACGAGCCTGCTCTGCCATGGGGTTTATGCACAACGGGAGGGTGAGGGGGAAGCCCTGCTCTTCCCAAGGACAGCCGAGGGGAGCTGAGACCTGCCCCATGCCAGGATCTCTGCAGTCGCTGCAGTTTTAAATCCCCGTTTGCACCTGCTGTAAAACAAGAGGCGACTGCAGAGACTGGTTACTCTGGAGCTGCCTCCCGGCCAGCGCACAGCAGCCCCTCAGAGTGTCCTCGGGGCACCCAGAGCCCCTCTGATCTAGTGCCTGTTTTGTACCTGCTGGTGAAACTTCTTGTGTTTTTAGTTTTAAAAAAAAGTTCATATGTGCCTCTCCCCTGTGGTTCTTGTAACTAGTAGCAAGGTGCTTGCTTAATGTGCAGTGATTCTGATGCTGTTATTTTTACTGGACACGAAAGTGCCGCAGCAGCAAGGCTGAGGAATTGTCAGTCCTGCTGAGCCCTGGGCTTGCTCCCTGCATGAGGACAGTCTCCTTTCCATAGCTTTTCTGCTCTGATGCTTCTAAGCGTCTTCTGAGATCCAGTTTCAGGTCAGGACTAGACATGAGGCTTACTCAGGCCAGAGACGCTTGGGCTTTTGTGCACGAGTTGGTGTCTCCAGCTCCCTTGGGAAGTTTGAGGCTCCTTCAGAGCTTCCTGACCTTCTCTGAAGGATGACGAATTCTGGGATGGTGCCCTTAACTTGCCTTTGGAAAACTGCACTGTGATCATATCCCTTTTTAAAGGTGCTTTTGATCTGCTGGGTTGCACTGTTCAGAGCCTGCCGGCGGGCTGGCCCTGCAGGCGCCGCTATGGGCAGCGCCGCTGGTTTTAGCGGAACCGCTAACCCCGCAGACAGGCTGCAAGGTCCAGCCCCAGATTGTTGCACGTGGATGTTGGCAGTTGGCAGAGTGCCTTAAATGACCAGTGAGCCTGTTCTGGTGCCTAGGGATGCCCCTGCTGCATCCAACACAGGACAAGTGCCTGGGCGCCCTTGGCTTGTCCAAAAACGTGGAATGGACCTCACCAAGTGCCTTCTTGGTGGCATCCCAAATCCCATGCACACTCCCTGCAGTCCACATGGGACACGGTGCCTTCAGCCTGAACCCCTGGCACTGGGGAAGGTGGGGAAACCAGGCCGTGTCCCTGCCCCTCGCTGGGCTTGACCGTTGGCCATGGAGTTCACACAAGGCTCCACATGGTTGTTAATGACTCGAGGGTGCTCCACTAGCCAAAGAAAAGGTCTTTTGTTGGGGCAGGGGGTGAATTCTCGAGTAAAAATACTTTTTTAATGTGTTTTTTTTTCTTTTTTTTTTAACTGGCTTTATATAATGCTGCTTGACTGACTTGCTAAATCTGAGTGAAGAGGCATTTTGCTGGTTAAATACTCAAACCGGTGCTGACTATCTTGGAGATGGCCTTACATACAGCAACCTGCACAGCGGCAACCATTCCCTTCCTGAAGGTTGCTAAAGTGCCAAGAAAGATTCCTGGAGTTCGCTAAATAAATTTTCTCTGAAAACGAGAACTGCAGTTCTCTCTTTCCACACTTGCACACCGGGCTGCAGATTTAAGGGGAAGTAGAGCTTGTGTAATCCCTCCAGGCACCAGTTCCGCACGTTCACCCCACGGGACGGGTGAAGAAACACTCGCTTTTAACCTCGCCATGCTGACAGCCTCACTCCAGTGTCAGACGTATAGATTTCCAGCTCCACCACTGGATTAGTTTACGTAACCCCAAGGAAGTTAGTCAGCAGCTGCTTTTCTTTCTCACTACAATGGGATAGACTGCTGACCTGTTCCAGGTTGTTTAATGTCTCTTAAAAGCTGGGTAAGGGGTGGAGGTAAAGAGAGAGAAAATAGAGAAAATTCACATTTTTTTAACTTCTGAACACATCACCCTCCGCGGTTTGCCCCGGACCTTGGTGCGAACAGGCACGGCTGTGGCTGCCAGGTGCCAGCCCTTGCCCCATGCTCCCGAAATCAGCTCTTCCCGGGGCCCCTGCGATAGCAAATAATTGCATCAGGCCTACTTAATTACACCTTATTGGATCTCTTTGTCTATATTTCTTCATTAATGCAGGAAGAAGGCACTCGGGTTTGAAACAAGCAGCTGCTTTGGCTCACTGATAAATGTTTAATTCTCAGACGGGGAGCACACGAGTTGTTTTCCAGCTCCTGTTGGTTTTCTTTTAGCTTTCATAGGCCAGAAAGAAAATCAGGCTGATGATCTTTTTGGAAAAATCTGACTTGCTGAATACAGAGGGACTGAGCAAACCCCTCAGAGGCTGGGAGGATCTGTTTGCTTTGAGTAATTTGGTTCTGCCAGCACTTTATGGGTTATCTGGAGGGAGAGGTGTGATAAATGCCCCCTTTCGTGCTGTCTGTCTTTGAGAAAGCCAGGCAAGCATTGCCTCAAGCAGGGGAACAGAGATACCAAATTAAATACTGGATTTGATTGCTTTTGCTGGCTGAGTTTATCTCTTTGCAGCTCAAACCAGGAGAATTTACTTAACAAGCTGATCCTTAAAAACATAAAGCTCAAAGAGCCGTGGCAGTGCGGATCCTCCACCAGCTCACGGGTTAGTTTGACTGCAGGTTTGGCAGAGATTTTTGCCTGCCGATTTGGTGGTGTTTTTCACAAAATGCTCTCAGGTGACCGGTTCAATTCAGCTTTAAATGTCCCAAGGGTTTCCACTGCTTCCCTACAAAGACCAGCTGGGTGAGTCTCAGATATACAGACAAAATAGGAAAGTGTCGTCTTACCGAGGTTTTTTGGCCACCTTTGGAACTTGCTATAATAGCTCTTTTATGGTTTCAAAAAGCCGATACGAACCCAAATTAGACAACTGTTATTTCTGAAGTCTCTGCTGTTAGAGCAGGCAAGGGAAGGAAACTCGGAGCTTGCCGTTGCCCCCAGAACATGGATACATGTGGGAGAGGAGGGAGCTCAGCCAAGCCGAGCGGTCTCGATGTGTGCTGCTGCAGCAGCTGGGTTTTGCATCTCGGTCAATTTTAGGGACGTATTAATTTTGCATTTCAAGCCTAAGGGCTGTGTTCAAGTTTGGAGTGTAACCGTCACCTTGCAAAGCTGAATATCCTTGTAGATTTAACGAGAGAAGAAATATAAAACATCTACAAAATCACACACCTGGCTTAGCCTGAAACAAGCTGGGAGAGAGCCACATGGAGGACGAAAGGCCACATTCAAGGTAGGAATAGCAGCTTGAAAATACTGGCGTGCAAAGAAACACAACTGCGGCCAGAAACCCAAAGAGGAGCAGGATGCTTTGGCCCATGTGGCTTTGCAAAACAGCTCCAGCGCTGCATGGATGAACGGATGCGCTTCCCGAGCAGCTGCTCTCCA